AGGAACAACAGACTCACTGACTTCCTTTCCTCCCGTACAACCCGTGACGAGAGCCCTTCTCGACAGGTCCTACACCAGCCACGGCAGCAGAGATATTCATCCGTCTCTTCTTCTCCGGTGAGCTCCAAAGAGTTGCAGAGGTGTCGTTAAAACGACAGCTCTGTGAATCGCTAACTTCTGTAGAAATAGATGGGTCGGGCCTGGGATTAATTATAGAAACTGAAATCATATTATTGGGCCCCCGCATAACCTCTCTCTTCAGGTTGCTCACTTGTGGCCCATTTCATAACTTAGCAACTTCATGTTTGGGCAAAGAATGTGGGCTGGGCTCATTCTGAAAAGAAATTGACAATTGTTTCCTAGGCCCCATTGAACAGCCCTCTTCATCTCCTGTGGGCCGTGATGAACAAGCAGCCCATTAGCCTTATTAGGCCCATAGCCCGCTTCAGATCCACTCATAGGCCCAGCAGAGGCCACTGCATAAAGATCTCCTTTAATGCCACGATCTCGGCCACGTGGTTGGTAACCGTTCACTCGGACATTACGAGGGGGCGAAAGGCGCTGATGAAGGGCGTGAATGACATGGCTCTTGGATCTGCCTCCTTTACGCACTTCTGGTGCATGATTAGGCATTCGCCTCTTTCCTTTGAAGCCTTGATGGGTCTGTGCATTCCGGCGACTTCCTTCAGTGATCGTTGCAGCAGCCGGGATGTGTGGGCTCTCCCCAACGCCATAGTAGGACTTTGGTAGAATGCGAGGTGTAATTTCCTTTAACAAGTTGACCCTGAGAGCAACTCGTTGGTCCTCAACAAAAATGTACCCCGGCATCACTTTTCCGGCGGAAACATAGAGGAGGATTCTCTGCCCACTTGCCGATACGTCCGCCTCGACACCTCGAAATCCATCACATAAGTTCCCAATTGCTTCAAATAACTTGTTGTACCATAGATGGAGGGGCAAACCAAACAATATCACCCTTCGTATGACTCGTTCTTTCACTGCAGAACAGCCAACTGCAACGTACCAAATGTCGATAGATAAAAAGGCATCGCCCCATCTCTTCCTCCCTTCATCCAAAACCCTTAAAGCCTCAATCTCCGATGGAAACCTGAACAGGAGTAAGTCGTTGGGTATAGGAGAAACTTTCACCCCACTTGAGACCTTCCAAGTTTTCGTCGCCCACACCTCAATTCCTTCAATACACCCCACATCTCTGTCAAAGCGACCTACCAAACATGATCGTAAGGCAGATTTTATCTCCTTGATACTTTGATGATCAATCCTAAAAACCAAATCATTGCCTATAGAGCAATTGTTGATTTCTCCATGGAGATTTAGGTGTGGTAAGGTCGCGACACTGAGATATGATCGATGCATATCACGATTCCTTGCCAAAAAGCCAAGGATCCAAAAACGAAAAACATGAACATAAACGGCAGACGCCGGAGTGATAGACTCCGACGTCAAAAAGAGAGGAGAGAGAAGAGAGAAAAGTCAAACATAGTCAACGCCCTTGATAACTCCTTTGGACTCATTTGACAAGCTGCTTTATTGGGAAGACTTGTGCCAGGCTCTAGGTCAATACAATGTTGAATAATCCTCATTGGTGGTAATTCCGATGGTAGGTCAACAGCAAATGCATCCATATATGCTTCCATCGACGACTCCCCAATGGTAGGAATGGATAGAGGTGCAACCAGTGGCATAGCCACATTGGGACCAGTGAGGGCAGTTGCCCCCACTGGAATTTCTAGTTATTTATATTTTTTATATACAGATTTTGATAATTCTTAAATTGCACTCACTGAACTTTTAAAAAGTTCACAAAAGGCCTTTAAAAAAGTCAAAATTAAAAAAGACCCCTCATTTTTCTAACTTATTTGTCCAAAAAATTTCAAAATTCAATAAAACCCATGTTTTTTCTCCTTTAGTGGATCCCACAAAATTTTTAAGCATCAAAATTAAAAATAGACCCCACTTACTATTTATTTTTTGGTTCAAAATTTGTGTCACATTATATTCAATGTTTGCCCCCACTCAAGTAGATTTCTGGCTCTGCCTCTAGGTGCAACGTCCTCTTTTGCAATCAAAACAAAGAGCTGTCCACTTTCCTTGACCTCTTTCATTAAGCCAGTCATGGTAAGAAAATATGTTTCCTCTCCTAATTTAGGTTTGGGACCAAATTTCTCACGCATGGACCTAAAGTAACTTTCAAGTTTTCCTTCCAAAAAGTGTACATGTTCTTTCTTCCATGATGCAAAGTATCTCCATCAAATTGCCGAGGCCTCCCCAGCAATACATGGCATGCATCCATTGGTACCCATCGCACCAAGTAATGTCAAAGTACGTGTTTCCAATGGAGAAAGAGACCAAGCAGTGTTGTGAAACGGTTACCTCATTCCCCTTGCAAAACCAAGAGAGTTTGTAGGGCCTCTGATGCTTCTCGGCTTCGAGTTTCAAATTCTCCACAGCTTCTTGGGATACCACATTCTCACAACTACCGCCATCAATAGTCATGTTGCACACCCTCCCACCAATAGTGCAAGTGGTGTGAAAGATGTTAATGCACAACCAATCTTCTTCATCCTCATGTTTTGGAAGCAAAAGTGACTTATGCATAACTAAGGATTCGCCTGGCCCATGCTGGCCCATTAGATTTTTTTAGTTTTTATATATCTACCCACACCCCCCCCCCCCCCCCCCCCCCCCCCGAATTTTCTTTCTTCAAAGCTGCCCCTTAGCCATCCTAGTCTATTATTATTTTTTTACATTTTACACATATAGTTTATTAAATTATATTGAATGACCCTCTAAAATTAAATTTTTTCCCAAAACATCCTTCTAATTCTTTATTTTTTTTCCCTTCCTACTCTTCTTCTTCATTTTTGTTTTCAATTCTCTTGAAAGAAAATTGCATTTCCTTTCTTCAAACAAATCCCAATTTTTCTTTCTTTCAAAGTTTTTCCATATTTTTTTCTTCTACTTAAAAAAATTATTTTATCATGTGATAATGTGCCCCACCTGAATCAAATTCCTGGCTCCATCCCTGATCATCATCCTCTTCCTCCGTGGAATCATCATATTTTGGCTCGTCTTTTGGGATTGCATCATCTTCCTCGATCCAAAGCTGTTTTCCAAGTTTTCTACACTCTGCCAATCTGTGTCTAGGCTCTCCACACTTATAACACCTCATGCCAAGGTCTCCGTCTCGATTTTGGCCTGCTGTCTTTCCATAATTTTGGCGGTCTCCGGCATTGCAGCCTGCTCTTTAACTCCACCAACATGTGGCAGCTTCTATCCTGCATTTTGGTCCTTGTTTCGCACTGTTGTAGGGGCTGATTCTCACTTAAAAGTGGACTGCAACCTGGCAGAACTACTGCTCAAAATGGCTTTCTACCACCAAAGCCCTCTGATAAGCCTCCGAAACAGACCAAAATGAATGCAAAAGTAGGACCTCTAGTATACTAGGCCTCAATCCACTTATGTAACGCGCCACGAGTTGTTCATCACTTCCATAAATCATTGCGTGTAATTAGTTGATAGAATTCCTCGGTATAATCTTCCACGCTGCGACTCCTTTGGCTTACATTATACAAAAGTTGATACATCATTTGGACATAATTAAAAGGCACAAAATTGTTCCTTCATCTTTTTCTTCATCTTCTCCCATTCTACAATCTTTGGCTTTACCTCTACACTCCCGGGTAATCCGTATATGCTCCCACCATGCTGATGCCCTTCCTCTCAAACAAATACTCCCTCTGTCCCTAAATAGTTGTCCACTTCGTAAACTGTGACTCACATAATTGTGAGTCACAGTTTACGAAGTGGACAATTAAATTGGGACGGAGGTAGTAGCTATGAGCTTGATCTTCTTGTGAACAGGGATCTCATGAGATTCAAAAATATGTTCGACGGTACTTAGCCAATCGATGAACTCCTTGGGCTTGAGACTTCCATGAAACTCAGAAATCTCGATTTTGATGTGTGATTGCCAATGACGACCAGTCTTCTCTTCGGCTGATCTATGGCGATGCGGAACATATAATGGTTTTCTGTGATAGTCTAGTTCTCGACAAACCGCCATCCACGGGAATATTGTCACCAACCGGTGGGTGGTTGTTAACCGGCGGGTTTATAACACGTTGACCCAATTGTTAAGTCAACATCTCAACTTGTCTCCAGAAAAACTCTTTATCATGTCTTGGTGTTGCTGGATAAGGGTTTAGCCGGACCTTGCATCCTACGATTTCCTCCTCTCAGTGTTGTCGTGGAGGCATGATATAAGCAGTTGGAAAGCCGAAACCAAAGCTCTAATACCAAACTAATGCCGCCTTAGTACCTTACCAAGAGGAGATGATCAAATTGTCTTTAGAGCAATATTGAAAAGAAATAAAGAACAAAGCAAGAGAAAGGAGAATTCGAGGCAAACTTTTAGTTGCTGTTAAAAAAATTCTCTCTTCAACTAACGAAAAAACCCTAGCAATTACAAAGCTTTATATAGAGTTCCTTCTTCCTCAATCTAATAGCTTGCTCCCAAATATAAATTAAAACAAATATAGGAAAGTTGCTGAAAATAAAGGAAAGTTGCTAAATATTTCTGGTTCTCCTTGCCTGTCCTCTACTTTCCTTTTTCGGGTGTTCCCAATGTTTAAGGAAATCATCTACTGGGTCCACAGCTACATCATGCTGTAGAGACCCCTAATTCTTTTGGTTATCAAAATTCTTCCCCCTCCCCCCCCCCCCCCCCCCCTCTCTTTTGGGAGGGAGGGTTCTGTTGTATAACTGGAACTAGTGCTGTACCTGAGAATTACCGCATGCTATGACGACATTTTAACTTGCATGGTCATCTATGTTGAGTTTGGAAGTGTTCATTGAGGAGCTTACTTTGTTGAGATGCCTTGGGTACTCGTAATAGATTGTGTTCTGTATATATGGATAGACACATACTTATTCATAATACAAAATTTGTTTCTGATTATCTAAGTCTTTCATTGCAGGTTGTTAGGAACCAAGGAAACCAAGGATATGGCATTTCAGCAGATATATGGAGCCTCGGATGCACTGTCTTAGAGATGTTAACCCGCCAAATGCCTTACTTTCATCTTGAATGCGTAAGTAAAACATTTCTTATAATTGCGTTTGCATAAGTAAAAACATTTCTTATAAGTAAAACTTTTTTTACAAGATAAGCTTTTGCATGCCTTTGTTTTTTGGACGGTCAAATTTCTTCTTTCTTTTCTTTTGCACAATATTACCTTTTGGTTTAATCTGATTTCACCAATGCCTGATAAGAAATGTATGCAACGACTTCTAGTTTCTGCCACATCATACACAGATGTAATTCTTTGAAATAAACTAGCTGGAAGTAGATTCGTCTGTATTTGAAATTTTATTCTTACATATCTTGTAAATTTTGTTCAAATTATATCTTGCATTCATGTGATTTAAGTTCAATATTTTTTTTAGTATTTACCTATTTAGATTTGGTTTGATTGTGGTGAGATATATGATTCTCAATATGTTAGCCATACTTAAAGTTATATACTTCCAATAAGAACTAATTGAACTACGAATGTCTTCAATTTGAATTTCAGTATCATGGTAAAACATATCATGGGTGTGGATAACATGCAAATATTGGGATGGGTGTGTGGCCAGATAAGAAAAGATAAAATTAAATAAAGGTGAATGACGTTCACGTAACCAGCTGTAATTGTTGGGAAAAAGTTTTTTTATTTTTTTTATAGCTAAACAGGTTGTTGAATGCGTTCTCCTTTTCTTGATTCTTTTGCTTGAACATTTTGAGATATTATGTTACACGAGCAGGTACTAGTTCTTGCTCTCTTTTTTTGCCCTTTTCCATATGGGTAACTTACACTTGCCTCCCCTCTAGAATGGGAAAATTGCAAAATTATCATAGGTTTTGCATTGAACCCTATACTCCATTATACTATAAAATGTTCCAATTTATATGCCAGAGGTGGAGGCTCTAGTGAAGAATGCCTGGTGTACAGAGGTTAATGGCAGTCCTATTGACCAGCTTCTTAAGAAATTGAGATGGTATTTTAGATTATACCAAATTTACTATTATATTATTATCAATATACTTATATAATAATTACTCCCTCTATCTCAAAATAGTTGTCCATCTTTGAAATTCAAACTTTTTAAGGGGACAAGCATTTAATGAATTGTCCCCTTCTAAAATTCCAAAACTATACTTCCAAAAGTAGAGTTAGTAGGAATAAATTTCCAAGAGTGTAGGATAGTCTTGGAAGTATGCAACCTTTTTATATTGAGGGGACGAGAATTTTGGGACATTCCAAAATGGAAAGATAGATGAGAATTATGGGACGGAGGGAGTAATATAATATAATTTTATATAAAATAGTCTACATATTAAATTTTTTATAATATTATATTATTAGAATTTTACAATATAGTGTTAAACAATATTGTTAGGTTATATAATTTAAATGTTTTAGAATATTATTTTGCAATGTAATATTAAAATATGATAATGTAGTTTAACACAATGTATTATATTATATTAAAGGGTTAAATACATTGACCTCCCCTGAGATTGGCTTAATTACACTCAGGTGAAACTTTTCAAAAATCTTGCAATGACCTCCCCTCTAATGGAATCATGACTACGAACCTCTTTCAAAGAAAGAAAAAAGGAGCGAAAACCTTAGTTTTTAAGGTGAAATTACCTTTATACCCCCAAATATTTCAGAATAAAGAATACCAAAATATCTGTTATAGTAAAAAGACCAAATTGCCCACCTTCATGAACACTTTGGGTTGTCTGTTCACAACCTACCCAACCCCTTCCCCTCCCCTCCTCTCTTTACCCACCATCGCCGCCACAGCCACCATCCTCACACTAACACTACCCTTTCTCTCTGTCTGTATATCATATATATATATATATATATATATATATATATATATATATATATATATATCGCACACACTTCCAATTTCAAAAAAAAAAAAACATTCAAGGGTTACACAAGAAGTACAAATTTACTGTACAGATACCTTTTCACCAGTCCCTGTGAGTACCATTCAAGATCTGTAGCCACATGCCTGTGAAGAGCAAAATCAAACCTAATGTAAAGAGCATCAAACCACACACAAACAACCGTGAGAATAGGATGCATTTTGGTATACAAATGTCATTGTAAAGGTTAACAAAGGCATTTTAGATGGAGGGAGGGCATGTTGATCAAATCACCCATTGTTTTTGGACGGAAGGGGGTAATAGTAGCAAGTGAGCAAATGTCATGGGAACTCGATGCAAGATTTTTGAAAATTTTCATCCGAGCATAATTAGACCAAACCTTAGGGAGGTCAGTGTATTTAACCCTATATTAAATTATAATATTATGTAAGATTATGTTATACCACATTTTCTTGCTACTTTTCGTTATATTATATTATCTACAAGTTAATTATTTTATTCATTATATTATTTTGTTTGATAATAGTATATGACATAATGTTTTTGATTATTATATTTGGATTACAAATATAATCGAATATTATGTAAAATGTATTGTAGATGATATTTAATTTTATCTTATTTTATTATTATTGTTGTTATTATTATGGGTTGTTATTTTTATGGAATCTTATTATATTATTAAGTAATAAAATTTATTATATTATTTAATATAATATAATTTAAGATATTTGGAGTACCATCATTGAATTTAGACCATAGAACTTGTGAATGTATATATATATATCGGTCGCGAGCGAAAAACACCCCTATGGTATGCATATAGAGTGTATAACCCCATATACGTTCTAAAAAGCCCCTAACATTCAATTTTGGAGCACATAAGGACCTGAATGCTGAAAAGACTAAAGTGCCCCTCTATAATTGAATAAAAAAATAGGTAAAAAATTAATTAAATGTGAAATGACTAAATTGTTCCTCTTTTCTTTTCTTTTTCTGGATTTCTTCATCATCACTGTTGCCGGTAATGGAACAATGACGACGACTTGATATGTCCGGCATCAGTTCAGTGTATATATATATTATATACTCCCTCCGTCTCATATTAATAGTCCATTATTCCATTTTTTGCTGTCCCATAATTGTTGTCTCATTTTAAAAACCAATACATTACTTTTTATTACATTTCCAATATACCCCTACTTTCTATGTCTCTTGAAAGTCGTACAATCTGGGACCTGTTAAAAATAAAACTTTTCAAAGTATAGTATTTATTGCCAATCTAATAAAACTTGATGTCTTAAAAAGTGTGAATTGTGGAATTGAACAATTATAATGGGACAGAGGTAATATCTATATATAAGGGCAATATATATATATAAGGGCATTATCGGAAGAGATAAGGACGTTTTTGGAATTTTATATCTTTAAGCCTTTTTTTTGCTCATTTTTCAAACTTAACGGACTTATATACACAACATAAGCTCTTCTTTGCTCATTTTTTCAAGCTTAACGGACTTATTATATACACAACATACAGGATGGGGGTGTTATTTGACCAAAATTTAAACATTAGGGGTGTTTTTTCTCACTTTACCCTATCTATATATATATATATCATATTACATTATTCACAAGTTTTGTGGTTTGTATTCAATGATAAAAACCGTTTATATATATTTTATTTTTAAGTGAAGGGGTATTTTGGAGAAATATTTTTAAAATTTATTCCATTCCAGCATTTCATTTTTAAATTTGTCTAACCAGAAATGGTCATCCATTCTTGCATCATTTCACATTTGCGACCAAAGTGCACCCCCTTGGCGCTCTTCAGTGATTTTTAATCTGTAAAAGAACTAGGTTGTGCAATAATTCTTCATTGAGAAATTATTGGCAGGCATTATTTGTATGCAATGATTGCAATCTATAGGTGTTCTTTCCTTGTAAGACCAGGATTTTGGTTGAGTGAATGTCTGAGTCTCTGTTATTCATGCGACTCTTAAATCCACATGGCTGTTAGTTTGGAGTTTGACTGCATCTTCTCTTTGTGAACGGCAGATGCAGGCAGTGTATAGGATTGGACAGGGTGAGCGACCACGTGTTCCTGATTCTCTTTCCAGAGATGCACGGGATTTTATACTTAGATGCCTCCAAGTTAATCCTAATACTCGGCCCACTGCTACTCAGCTCTTAACCCATCCATTTGTGAAGCAGTCACTCACCACGTACTCAGGGTCAGCATCTCCTTATCATCTTGTCAGGAGGACTTAAAAATTTTCCATAAGCTTTGAAGTGTAAGCAAGGTAAAAGATTGATTCGGTGTAATTCAATTTTCGGTCATTGGTTGCAATTCCACATCCCACAAAAACTCAAAAGAAAAGGGAAAAAAGAGTGAGAAATAGACTTGAATCTTGTCATCTGCAACTCTTTAACCATGTTACAAAAAAACATTGTGAAAGGGCATTTGTTCTCATTATTAGTATGAGATTCTGGCATGCACATGTTGTGATGGGAAAAGGATATTGAAGTTGGCTCGGGATTTTTTCATGCAAGAAGATTGTGGGAAATTCCCATTCTTTTTGGATCAGATGCTTGTTGGAAGTTCTCATATAGTACACTCGATTGTTTTCTACTCTGCATCTCAAATGCAGGGAAGAGGTAGACAGCTTGATGAAGGGACATTCCAAAAAGAAAATGAAATTATTATTGAGGGACCTCCTCTACAATACTGCATAATCTTTACTGTCAAACCCACCCCCCACCCCAAGCCTATGTTAATTAATTATTACTTCTGATAAATTTATACTGTGCCCCACAAGTTGGACTATGACTTTGACCCTGGGCCCTTGTTACCATCTTCACTCACCGACGTGATACCCTCTCTCGGAAGAAAAAAACCTCCCAACCACCGTCAGAATATTTCCTTGCATTGGACCCTCATGTTGGTTAATTGATTCCAGGGTTGTAGTCATTCGATTTTTCAATGGATGCATTAGATCTCTGTGGCATGTTGGAACTATAAGTCGTCTTGCACCATCCAGGATCCATCCATGTACATGAAATCGATGAAGACTACCATACTATCAATTCCGTCGACTTTTCTGGAGATCTTCACACCAAATGGTGAACTGCTGCAAATTATTATTGTTATTTGCTGTCGGAATTTTTGTTTCTTGTCAATAGCTGATTGGTGTATAATTATTTTTTTCTCCTTCCTGCTGTCTATAGGTTAAGCATTAGTTGTAGAGATCAGAAATCAGATGTTTCTTGTATATATATCTCTTCATTCAAAATTATGTGAGATGCATTTCTATTTGTAGTTTCTACCCGTTGCTTTCATTTTTCATGATTTCCGGCGTGCCTTTTTTTCTAGCATTCCTTTTCTTTCTTTTTTCCTTCTTTGAAGTAAATGTATGAATAGGTACAACAGAGGATGGTCATTTATGGAATGAAGCACATTCTAAACAAATCGCTTAGAACATCAACGGATAAAAAATGTTTTTCTTATTATCTGCGCTCTTAACATTTTCATCATTCTTAAACATTTTCATTATTCTTAAACATTTTTATTATTACCCTTTGTAAATTACAATAGTAGAATAAGAATATCACCCTCCTGTTTGTGGGGGCTCTCTTTCTTGCAGGGTATTGGAAATGTGATCATCCTTTAGGGAGTTTTTTGGCATTTTCTGTGGCATTCTTTCTTTTTTTTTTAGTTAACCAGTCTCATTAATTCATTGTTAGATAGAAATTTAAATTTTATATGCATGGTATTCTTCCGATTGATGCAATTCCCACAAACATCTTATATAATTTTTTACTTGAATCCGAGTGTTTTAGTTGTGTCTTGAGTCACATAAAACGGGAAAATTAAGTCATAAGCAATGAGAATTTGAGTAAAAGCGTGCGTAGAGCGTGAGAGCGAAAACGTGCTCGGAGTTTGAGAGCGATACCTGTTGAAAAGTACTGTATCAGTTGGACAGAAAAATGACAATAAAAAGAGAGATATAGACCCAAGACCGTGAGTGAAAGTAGGCTCAAGCTCATTTTACATTTTCAACTAGTCTAAGTCGGATAGGGTAGACTCTAGACGCACTCGTGACTAGGACCTAGCTGGCTCACTGACTAGACTACCCGTAAGTCAGATCGGAAAGTCTCTAGACTCACTTATGACTCGGGCCTAGTTGGCTCAGTGACAGGAAGATGTAGAATGAAGGCATGAATATCAAGCTCATTTTACACACACTTTCTCAATGTACCAAAACACACTCGAATCCCTCATTCTTGAAAAAAAATAATTAACATTCATTAGGAACCCAAATTTATTGAATTATGTAATAAAAAATCGCCTATGATACATACAGTTCGAACACTAAAGAATTTCACAACCGCGATGCCAGTTCTGTTACCATTTCTTGATGCAACAAAGCATCCGAATCCTCGTACCATTTTCCTCATTGATTTTCCTGATACGAAACATCTCCACCCTTTGAATAAACAACAAACATAACCAACATTGTTGGAGAAAGCAACCCAAAGATATGGGACCTAAATCACACAAATATTTAAAAAATTTAAGATCTGACAACCTACAGGGTTTTTAAACCCTTGAGCTCTTCATTAAAGGTTAATATGTTCCTCCTGCTTCAATACAACATATTGCAAAGGTTTCTACCATAGAAGAAATCCATAAACAAGAAATTCCAAGACAGTATATAAACCCACAGTTAATCTAGTTCTAGTGCAGTTGGAGTCAACATAAATCCAATGGTGATATACACCATAAATGACACTTAGCTTTCATCGCTAAAGCCGGGCTCGATCTCAATAACATACCCATCCAACATGTTACTATCCATTACTTTTTTAGCCTTCTCTGCTTCTTCTGTTGGTTGCATACGTAACAAAACCAAACCCCATTGATCTTCCAGAGACTCTATCTCCAGGGATTTTGGCTGCAAAAGCATTCAAGCACCAGATTAGGACACATCATTTATTCACTGTGCTTACTAAGAGATCAAGATTAAAGCTAAATATCTGAGGAATGAAGCGAGATATACAACAATAATAATGAAAGCGATAAGTAATTATGATAACCTTCAAGAAGCTGGCCAAATGGAGAAAATGCTTCTCTAAGCTTTTCTTCTGTTGTTACTCTTGATAAGCCTGCATCATCATGCACAATTATTGGTGTCAATTATCCTTCAGGAGGAGACAATAAAAAAGGAAAAACCTTTACCGTGTAAGATGCAAAAGATCAAATCAGCTGAAGCTCCTATGCAACTATGTTTCCCCGAGCCTTCATATTTCAAAAAGTAACATCATGCCGTATAAATGTCCGTACAACAAAAACAGCCACCAAAACCTTTTTCCAATTAACTTGGGGTCAGCTCCAATGTTTCCATTCCGCTGCCAATGTAAAGTCCCTTGTCCATTTTCTGAAACATCCGGAAGCTGATGCAACGCGTCACCTAAGGGGAACGCCTAGCATTTACTCGTCTAAGTGTCCATCATCCTAATATTTATACTGGCCTTCACTCTGCTCGTACAAAGTTAAGAGAAATCCAAAAATGTAAAGCTTTATACATTAAACCTGGTGATGATAGTGGATTAGATGAAGTGGTGAATTATGTGTCAAAAAGAACTTTAGCACTTCCCTTTCGGCATTTCCACGACAATGAGTGTGAAAACAGGCACGCACACACACGCACACACACACACGTGCAGGTCTAAAGATTTACTGGCCACTTAAACTACTATCATTTTCGATTCTGTGTCTAACCCAAAATAGCGACTAGATCCATCATCCAAAGCTTTATCCACTTAGATATTATACCCATCAAACTATCACATTGCAATTAGGTCACATTTACTTCTTTTCCCTTCTTCTTCTCTCCTTTTTTTTTCTATCTATAGTTGAAGATAGTTGCACGTAGCAAGTGTTATGTTGCCTGAGTGGTCGGGTTGTTCCCCGTGTTCGAGCCTTGCACCCTCCCCATCCCCTCTAACAACTATCCCCTTAACATTCTTGCCATGAAAAAATATATATATATGGTTGAACATAATGACTGAGTAACAGATACAAAAAATATTCCAAAACATGACAAGGGTCGATATATTGTGGGATCTGAAAAATTACCTTACCAAGCAAGTGAAGCATCTTCAAAGAAGAAGAAAGAAGGAAAGAAAAGAGCGCCTTAAGATTATAGCTTTACGCATGCTGCTAAAAAGTGGAAATTGTTCCACTGAAATTGTTGCAATGATAAACAGCACACAACTAATAAGTAAAGGCCTAACTCATAGTTAATAGTCACAGTACGGTAGTTACTCTACTCAATTTTCACAAAAAACCTGAACTCGATCCAACAAGAATTCAACCTCGTTTCGTTTTTAAGTAACTGAGTTAAAATCAAACAACATTTTCAAACTTGCTATTCAAACCAGTGTAGTCCAAACAAGCCATAACTCCACCTGTTAACTTGTGAACAAGTAACTGAACAAGTCTTCGGAATCATTAGAATTTGTGAACATAACAGTTTATTATGACTTGTTTATGTTCATAACGAATTTGTTTTTATCAATCTTTGATTTCAAACTTTGTATTAAGGGTGAAATCAATTGGCAAAACAAGCCTAACCAGCATGCCAAGCAGTGCCTAAAGTAAGCTCAAGCACTAAATAAAGAAGGGAACCATGGATGGATGAAGCAATCCATCCTCGCCAACCATTTTTCATCCCTCAAGAATTCGAGGGAAGAGAGGAAAAACACAAGGATGACAACCATAGTATATAATGTAGAGTGTCATCAGTGTTTGCCAAATTATACTATTAGGTATCACCTCCTTCTACTCCATTACACAGCCAAACAAAAGGGGAAACAACACCTTCAACCAAGGATAAAAGAAATTACAGCTTTATAAACGTCACAAAATCTAATTGAAGCAGATCGAAAATGTGCTAGTAGGACAATTGGATAACAAATAGCAAAAATGAGGCGGAGAGTTCCAAGTGCAAGCATTCCTTTAAGTATGGTAAATTTAAAAAGTATCAACTGTTACAAAAACAAAAACCCAAACCAACATAGACATAGATGCTTTAATACATTTTTTTATCAATTGTTACAAAACAATAACACTAACCATCACAGACATAGATGCTTTAGTACATTTTTATCAATTGTTACAAAAACAAAAACCCTAACCAACACAGACATAGATGCTTTAGTACATTTTTTTATTTTATTTTTTATTTTTTATCAATTGTTACAAAACAAAAATCCTAACCAAACCAGACATAGATGCTTTAATACATTTTTTTATCAATTGTTACAAAACAAAAACACTAACCAACACAGACATAGATGCTTTAATACATTTTTTTTAATCAATTGTTACAAAACAAAAACCCTAACCAACACTATCATAGATACTTTAGTACATTTTTTAATCAATTGTTACAAAAACCCTACCAGCACAGACATAAATGGTCTAGTACATTTTTAAATCAATTGTTACAAAAACAAAAACCCTAACCAACACAGGCATAGATATTTTAATACATAATCTATAAATATATATATATATATATATAGATAAATATAAATTACATACAGATGTATAATCTTACCAGTGACCATGAGCTTTGGAGTTGTGAGGGTTGAATTGAGACGATTCCAGACAAATTGGGAATGAAGAACAGAAGATGCGGTCGAAGATCCGTTGAGAACGCGACAAAAAGCAAATGCAAAGGCCATCAAATCAAAATCGATGAATTCAACTCTATAACACAGAAGAGATTGAAGATCAAAACCCTAGTAAAGCCCTTAAAAAACGTATACAATGAAGTAATAACAAGACATTTGTTTGGCGAAATGCATGATATAGCAGAAGCGTGAGCATGAGCTATGATGTGTAGCTCAACCCTTTGAACCGTTGGATGAATTTGATGACTCGGGATGAAATGTGTTGAAACCCAAGTACGGAAAATTGTCATTATTTATACAAAATGTCCCCCTGAAATTAATTAATTTTTTTCTAAAAATTTCTATAATTTTATTTTTCTTTATATTCTTACTTTAAATCTTAATTTTTTGTATTCTCCTCAAGATATTTGCATTCACTTTATTAAATCAAACTCTTATTTTTTTCCCTTCAAAGTTCTCTCATATTTTATTCATTTTATTTTCTTCTTCTTTGTTTTCCTTTTTTTCTTCAATTGTTTTTGTAATTGTAGTTGAACAACTATAATGAGATTTTTTTATTATATAAAAACCAATATATAAAAATACTATTTTTAAAATAATTCAAACAATTTTTATGTACAACAAA